CCCTCCCTTCCCCTCTCTAAAAATAAACAAAATCTTTAAAACTTAAAAGAAGTCACTGGTCACAGTTTACCGACTCAACAATCTTACCTTTAGCCCAAAGTTATCGCCTTGCAAACCACACCCTGTACTAGTCCTACCGTAGAGGCGGTGATGTTCCACCCTGTTCATCCCAGGGCCTCCGTAAACTAATTACTAAAATCCTGCAGCCCTCCAGAAATCCAGCAAGAATAGGTGTAATTTTGATTTCATTCACACCAGGTGGCTATTGCTGTATTGGCTGTTTTTTTCTTTTTTCTTTTCTTTTCTTTTTCTTTCTTTCTTTCTTTCTTTTTTTTTTTTTTTTTTTTTGACAGTCTAAGGGAAAAGCGGCCAGTGCCCCTGACTACAGAGGCAGGCATGGCATGTTTTAAAAACCTGTGTGTCGCACCGGCTGGAAATGGCGGCCACAGAGACCTTCTGCTGGGCCCCTTCCAGAGGGCAGGGCAGGTCTGTCCGCGGGGCGATTTCCCTCCTTGTCGCAGGTCCCAGTGAAGGGGGCCGCCCTGTTCTGCAGCTTCCCCAGCCCCCGTAGCAAGGGACCCTCAGTGTGGCGCCTGCAGCCAGGAGATGCCCTGGAGCGGCGGGAGGCGGCCGGGGCCTGGCAGAGCCTCCTGGCGGAGGTCCTGCCGGAGGTGGGCGTCGCCCTTTGCCACATGGAAAGCGGAACACCACGAAAAATGAGGTCCCCTTCGTCCTAGCAGCCTGGTTGTGGCATTCTGTGGTTTGAGACGTTTTATGTATTGTTATAGGCAAAGTTACCCAAAGATAAGATTATTTCTGGTTCTGTGGGGATTTTTGCCTTCTTTTTCTTCCTTGATTCCAACCGCTCTTCATAGTTTCAATTCCTCTCTCCTGCTTTGTTCTCCTTTCTGTTTCTGGTCATTTTACCCCTAATTATTTCACATTCTTTTCTGCCTGAGAAACACTCATGAATGCTGCTCTTTCAGGCACCGCGGGAAACATTTTAAATGCGTGTATAAGTGACTGCGCGCGTGTTATGCTGAAAATATGAAAATCGACACGGTCATTATTATCATTTTCTGGTGTGAGGATTCAGGTTATAATGCTCAGCTCTTTATTAATCGTGAACTTTTTTGCATGGTTTGCTGTTTAAAAAATAATAATTTGCCATCTGCGAAGTGCTCAGAGGAAGACAATGTCGCCCAGCGTGAGCTTTCGTTCCACCCGAGGACAAGCTTCACATCTTTCTCTCCCTCTTCTGGGGGCTTTCATTACACAGGGCCCCAAGCTGGGGGCTTAAATGACAGAAATGTATGACATCACAGTCCTGGATGCTGGAGTCCAAGGTCCAGGTGTGGGCCGGACTGGCTCCTTCTGCGGGGGAGAAAGAGGGGTTCCCGACGCACCCCGGCGCCTGCCGGCTGGCTGGCCAGGTCCGTCTGTCTGTCTCCGTTTTCCTGTGGTGTCTCCCGGCCTCCAGCCTCCGTCTGGGGGGGACGAGGCACGTTGGATGAGGAGCCCAGCACACCCCGCGGGACCTCACCTTCACCAATTACATCATGGCCTTATATCCCAGCCGTCCCACCCTGAGGGCCCCGAGGTCAGGGCGTGGACGCAGGACCTCGCTCCACAGTCCCCTCATCGCGAGCAAACGGCCGCGCAGGTTAGGCCGGCTCGCTGGCTGGGAGCGGCTGGGGGCTCGGAGGCGGGGTGGCCGGCAGCGGTGAGGACCCCCGGGGCCCACGGGGACGCCAGGGTGGCCCGATGCCCCGCAGCCACCCCGGGGCTGTTTCTCCGGGAGCGGCCAGGAGCGTTGGCGCTAGTCCAAGCTGCGCCCCGTATCTGTGCGTGCCCGGGCCTTCGCCTGTAAATGGGACCCCTCTCCGCCCCGGGGGCTGTGAGGCGTAAAGGACGAGGACGAAGGGTGAGAGGTGCCGGGCCGCCCGATGGGGACGCTGTCCTCTGTCCCGGCCACGACCCGGCTGCCCACGCAGGGGCCCGCGGGTTTGCGTACGGTACAAAACACACAACGTAAACCGTCCCTCTTCATGTTTAAGCCTACGTGGCAGCATTGACAACGTCGGGCACGTCGTTGTACAAGAAAGCTCTGGCGTCTAGGACTTTCTGCTCTGGCCGGACTGAAACGCTTGCCGGCGGAACAAATCCCCGTGCCCCCTCCCCCGGCCCGGCGACCACCTGTCTGCTCTCCGTCTCTGGGGCCCTGGCTGCTTCGGATGCTTCGCACAGCGGGGTCACACGGTGTTTGTCTTTCTTGTCGCTGGCTAGTTCACGTGGCATAGTATCCTCAAGGTCCATCACGTTATAGCGCGTGGGGGTCCCCTTCTTTTTTAAGGTTGTTTGCATGCCCCGCATTCCGTCTGTCCATTCACCCACTGGCGGGCGCTTCGGCGGCTGCTGGACCCCGACCGTTGTGAACGATGCCGCAGTGCGCCTGGCGGGACAGTGTCCATTCAAGACCTTGTTTGTAACCCTTTCGGATGAACACCCAGGTGCGGAATTGGCGGGTCGCATCATAGCTGTAGTTTTAATTTTTCGAGGAAGCTCCATACTGCTTTCCACAGTGGCTGCACCATCGTACCATTCCGGCCCCTTGCAGGTTGTTTAATTTAGGTAATTACCTAAGATCCTCGACCAGAAACGTCACCTGAGCGCATCAGGGTGAAGGGGGTTGGGGGCGGGGAGTGAGGGAGATTTAGAAGAAGGCTTCGGTCCCGGCCCGTTGCCGGGGGGCGGGGGGGGCTGCATTTCTCAAGTGGGGGAGGGGCATGACCGGCGTTTGGGGCGGAACAGTTCTTCCTCTTGAGCCACACCCCCGCGTGGCAGGAAGGTTACCAAGACATGGATGCCAGTAATACCCCCGTCATTGCGCAAGCCCAAGCACCCACACGTTCCCAAACTCCCCCCTGTCGGCGGGGGGCGGTCCCAGCCCTAGCAGCTGGAGGTGGGAGGCCCTGCCAGGCCAGGCGAGGTGTGCTCAGTGGGGACCCCCCAGCCACCAGCGCCGTGGGGGCGGGGAGCCGGCCGCCTCAGGCTGGGCTTCTGCAGCCCTGCACCTCGCCCTCTCCCGGGGGGACCTGGTGTCAACGCAAGGGCACACGTGGGGGGACAGGTTCTCCGCCCGCAGAGTCGCCCCAGGAGGCTCTCCAGAAGCCCTCGCTCAGACAAAGCGCTGCCAGCGCGCCCCTGTCAGACGGTACCAAGTCTGAGCTCTGAGGACGCCGAGCGCCGCGGGGGCGGCGGGGGGCAGGCGGCAAGGAGGCCCCGTCCCCGCCGCTGCGCCTGCGGGCGGGGCGGCCGCTGCGGAGGACAGCTTCTCAGACCAGCTGACATTCTCTTGCCATTCGGCCCGGCAGCTGCGCTCCTTGGTGTCGACCCAAACGGCTTGAAACCTTATGTCCACAGAAAAACCTGCACATGTACATTTATAGCAGCTTCACTCGTATTTCGCAAGACTTGGAAGCAACCAAGACGCCCTTCAGTGGCTGATGGGTACACTGTGGAGCATCCAGACAATAGAGCGGTGTCCGCTATCAAGCTGTGGAAAGAGATGGAGGAACCTTAAACGCATAGTGCAGAGTGAAAGAAGCCAACCTGGACAGGCGACATACTATGCGATCCCAACATTATGACATCCTGGGAAAGGCAAGACGATGGAGACAGGAAAACTGCCAGGCGCCTGGGGGGTGTGAGTAGGCAGAGGGCAGGGCTTCCAGCTGGTAAAGCTGCCTTGTTCGATACCACAGTGGTGGGTACACGACGTTACATAATTGTCAAAACTCGTAGAATTAGCACCGCCGAGAACAAGCCCTACGCCAAACTGCGGACTCGGGGTCGGATGGCGTGTCACTGTAGGCTCATCAGCGGTAACGGAGGTCCCCCTCTGATGGGGACGATGACCATGGGGGAGGCTACACAGGTTGGGAGGGGGACAGCGGTATATGGGAAACCTCTGTGCCCTCCTCGCATTTCTGCTGTGAATCCAAGACGGATCTAAAAATACACTCTATTGAAATATATCAACTGATCACAACAACCTCCTCAGTAAACAAAGCTGCCAGAAGGAAGCACCTTGGGTCCAAGCTCCCAGCCAGCCTCCCCATTTGCATCTTCTGAGCCTCTGACCTTCTGGGAGGTTTGAGGACACAGCAGAGCGCCTGGGAAACCCGCCGAAGCAGGTGCAACGTCACCTGAGGTCTGCGTTCAAACAGCCAGGCAGAGCTCAGCGCCCGGGGAGCTGGCCGCCGCGATGCCGCCGCGATGCCGCCGCGGCGGGACCCACGCACGCACGCACACAGGAGCCCCTCTGGAAGGAGCCACCCGTTGCCTTACACTTTCTCCTGTTCCCTTTAGCAATAAAGGCTGAAAAAGCAGACGGGGAAAATATTGTGAGACGGACGTTGTCTGACCGAACTAGTGATCCATGGATGGGCCGTGGATTTAACGGACCCCATAAGAGCCTAGATGCTTGTTACACCTGCTTTTGTCAAGTTCTGAGTCCCACGTGCAAGGAGTTTGCACCGGACAAGAGCGATGGTTGCTAAGCGCAGGGAGAGCCAGGTCTAGGGTGGCCTTGCCCCTGTCAGCTGAATTGTCCCTGAAGCAAACCCCGGACAGCAGAAACGCAAGCCCTTCCCTTTCAACATGACTCATTGTATTCAGATTCACACAACAGTTAAAAGCACAGCTTCCTCTTTCAGGAACTATGAAAGCTGTGGCTTTGACCTAGAATTCATTGCACTCAGACTTGGAGCCGTATCTGCAGGGAGATCCTGCCAGCTCCGCGGTCCCTTCCAGGAAATTCCTTCCTGGCCGGCAGGGAACAACCCCACCTGGTACGTGGGCTTCAAAAGGCTCCGGCAACCCATTCATATGAATGAAGCCGCTCTCTGGGGCTGAGGCGGAAGCTGCCCCCAACCCCCCCCCCCCCGGGGCTTAGGCAACAGGGAAGGAAGCCGCCCAGGGCAGTGTGACAGCTGAGACGCCACCGCTGCTGCCAGGACCACTGGCCCCTGCCCACCGCGCGTGGACCACGCTCTCCAAGATGCAGTCTCCGGACCCCGAGGAGTTCCTGGTCGATGAGGAGGATGACATTTTTGGAGAAGGTAAACACGTCTTTCTGGCAGGAGCCATGCCGATGCACTGGAAACTCCTGTCCAGTTTGCGCACGGACTTGAGGACCTGGCTTACGTTCTGGCTGGGCCGGTGGCGGCGGCGGGTGTCCCTGGAGGCCCCAAGGGACCCAGGCACAGCAGCGGGCACCAGGGAGGGGGACCGCGCCCCCGCGCACTTTTCTATGCCATGACGAGATCAGGTTGAGTTTAGCTTGGAAAATAGAATGGACTCTCCCCTCCTCCTCTCCCGCGCTCTCATCAGCCCCGCGAGGGAGGCCCACAGCGGCAGGCGCGCAGGGGGCCGGGGCGGTTCTCACGGACCCCGCTGCGTTGGCCTGCACCGCCCACCCTGCCCACTCAGGATCTTTCCCTCGCCCTTCCCCGGACCCCAGCCCTCCCTGCCTCCCCCCTGCTTTTCCACGCCAGGTGTGCAGCCGCGATGCCCACCAGCGCTCGGCCGACTTTCCCTTCCTCCGTCGCTGCTTTCCACACATAGGCTCAGGGACCGGGCTGTGGCCACAGGCTTGTCATTTTCCATGGAAATCTAGTCATCTGCCACCGTCACCTTCAAATGCTGCCTGGGACACTGGCCCATAGGCCAGGGCTTTGGGGAGCCGTCGGAATAAACGGTGTTCTGGACTGAGCGACCTCCTCAGTTTGGTTGTTTTCCCTAAGGAACCGTATCTAGGAATTTTTCAGAAACTCCATCGGGTAACTTCTAAAGAGCACTAATACGTTTTGGGGGATTACCCAGGTATGCTAGTTCGTTGAAGGACATTTCAAGGGCACCGGACACCTATTAAGACCCTCGCGCGGCCTAACGTCGGGGATGTCTGTCTTTCCGCTGTTCTGTCCTGGCCTCAGAGACGGTTCCGACCCTGACTGGGCTTCAGACCACAGCTCAGCCTAGTTTGCAAACTATCTGCCGGGGCTCCGTGTTGCTCAGGTCTGAGCCTCTGTGGTTTGACCTCAGGGCCTGTTGTTCTACTTGCAGGTGTTTTCTCTGGTGATACCTACTTAGGCGTTTCCTCCCTTCTTGACTTAAAAAATGGTCACACCCAGGACTCGGAGCCTGGATTGGACGAGCTGGCAATTCGGCCCCAGCCGCACCGGCCTCGGTCGGTGCTAACGAGCGCCACCTACAGGCCGGCGCTCGCAGCGCGGGTGCGGGCCCCGCCCCGCAGGGGTCAGGCGGCGCAGGGCGGGGGTGCCAGCCCAGCGCCTCTGCCGGGCACCCAGGGCTTTAAGGCCATAAGGGCATCGCGAGCTTTAAGGTTTGAACCTCAGCAGGCACCGTACGGAGCCAAACTGCGGGGCAGCCAAGATTCAGATTCAAATTCTCATAGGGCGCCGTCTTATGCAGCTTATTTACCTGGCTCACCCTCCGCGTCCTTGGTGGTGGGGCGGGGCAGCAGCCCCTCGGGCCGCACAGACACGTCCCGACGCGCTTCCTGACGTTGTGGGACGTGCTGCCTGCTTCCCAGACTGCCTGTCTCATTTAACTAGATCTCCAAGGATTAGAGAGGGGATCCTGCGTGCCTGTGCGTGGTCTCCGCGTCGTGGCGCACGTTGGCCAGCGCGGTGGAGGTCTGTCCGAGGCGCCGCATCCCGCGCCAGCTCCGGGTGCGGTCGCTGACCAGAGCGCCTCCCTGGGGTCCCCCGGCCCAGGCTTGGCCGCCTCCTCCTGCCGTGCCTCGGTTTACCCCCTTGTCACCAGAGCACACGCCGCGCAGGTGCGCAGGTTCTGTCGTCACAGGGATCGCGCCCTGCCCAGCGCCCAGGACGCTCTGCGTCACCACTAGCTGCCGCTCTGTGCACAAGGCAGCTCAGAAAACAGTCGGAAAGAGACGCGTGCAGATTCAGTACAGTTTTTCGACGTGTCTGGTTCACCGAGTCTATTCAAGAGAGGACCTTTTACAGAATTTGAGCTGGGAAGCAGCTTTTGGGAGGTGTGCCACCGTGGGAGCGGCCCTGGGGAGGGGGTCGGGGGCTCCCGCCAGCCGCTCAACCTCCCTGGGCCTCGTTTTCCACCGACACACAGGCTCGGGCTCATGTCCCCTAAGGTCTGGTCCCAAGCCGCAGCTCTGTCCCCACATGGCCGGCTGCCTGCGCCTGGGAGCCTCCCGGCGCGCAGGTGCCAGCCGGCGGCCAGCCCACCTCGCCGCCTGAGAGCGCAAAACGTTTTGGGTACAAGAGTTCCCTTAACACAAAGAAAACTGCCGAGGACCTTGTTGCCACGGCAACCGTGTTTCCTTGTAACGGACACATCTTTAAAGGACTCTTTCCCCCTAAAGGAACGCAGATTTAGAATGGAGGCCCATTTGGTTAATGGTAAAAATAAATTCATTTAGATGTATGGACCCCATAAAGATCTGGGGAGGAAAAAACATGAGTCCTGCCCACAAATATATATATTTTTATCTGCCTTCCTAAGATCCTGTTTGCTTCAGCTACTGTGTTCTGCGGTTAAAGAGAATGTTAAGGGTCACAGAGCGGAGAGGCGCTGGTGCTGGGGGTGGCTCTGCTCCCGCTGCTGCCGGATGCTGGCATGTGGTTAGGGAGGGGCCCCCGCCTCCCGCCGCCAGAAACCCGGCGCTGGCTGCCCCCCGCCCCGTCCCTGTGCCCCCCCCATTTCCCCCGCTCTCTCTCTCTGTCACACACACACACACACATGCTTGCTTTCCAAGCAACACCAACAGCATCGCCTTTGTGCCCGGCAGAAGACAGTGACTGCTCGGAGGGCTACCTTTCCGGGGGGCGTGACGGGCCTGCTCGCCAGGGTCCTGAGAAACCAGGAAGCGGGGACTAGAGGAGCCTGTGTCACTGTTGTTTCAGACCCGTCAAATGCAAGAGCTTCCATCTGCTTTCTCCCTGGGCCTCCCGGCCGGCCAGGCTAGCAGCGCAGGTCAGCCGCACTGGCTGCAGGGTAGTAATGGTGCCGATCACTGTAACAATCTGGAGGAGGAGGAGGAGGAAGAGGAGGGAAAAGAGTGCCCGGAGCAGTGGAGGCCCTGGGCCAGCCTCCAAGAACAGAGCAGGGGCCGTGCGTGGGAGGGAACGTCCCGGGAGGAGGGGGGGGTCTTTCGGGGGTTCAGCCGCCAGAATCGCGCGCTGGCCCAAGTTCAAGCTGCCGTGAGTGCTTCCTCCCTCAGAGCCGAGTCCCCGCTGCCTCCGTTGCTGGCTCTGCTCGGCAACCCGTGGTCCAGCGCCATGGTCAGAATAACAGCACCACGAGCTCACACTCGTCGGTGCAAAGTGTTTCTCAGGCCCCTCTCTTCCCTGAACACTCACATACCTTTTAAGATCTCACTTCTGGAAAGACCACAGAGGCCTGAGACGCCGGGCCAGACCGTCCGCTGCTCCCCAGAGCTGGGACAGCACGGGACAACCCTTCTGTCCTGCGCTCCCGCCTGCGGGCGAGCTGTTCCTGCCTCCCCAGAGAAGAGCGTGCCCCCGTGGAGGCGGCCCGGCAAAGGAAGTCCCCTCCGCGGTTGCTCTTAGACCAACGGATGCTCGTAGGCCAACAGGTGTTGGGGCAAAAAGGCCACTCAGGTTGAACGAAACCTCTCTCCTGTCCCCAGGCCAAGTGTGACAATCAGTAGTGTTTCCCATTATTCGCCTTAGAGCGAGCACGGAATTTGCGAGAGGCGTCCGGAAAAGAAGCGTAAGCAAAGCCGTGGCCACGTCCTGTCTTCCTGTGTTGACTGCCTAGGAAGGCAAGGGAGATTTTTTAAAAAATAGGTGAACAATGATACACTCTGCTGTAGCCTGGCGTGTTTTGATGTTGTTTACTGAATCACAGTCAGCCGTGCCAAAATCAAAAGGAAGAAAGAAGAAAGCAAGATTAGATTAAGTTTAGGTTTTGTACGAAACCAATAAATCCTGCAAGTTCAGAGTGGTTGAGTCATAGCCTCCGGAAAAAGTATGAAACGTAGAGGCCCCTCGGCGACAGAGAGTTGGAGCTTTTTGCTTGATTAGGCCCCATCTCCTGTCGTGTGAATCACGTAACCGTCACTCAGCTACGCCGGACCTTTCTCAAAAACGTCCCTGCCGGGGTCTCCGGGGACCGGAGAAACGGGATTAGGGGGCAGGGAGAGGCTGCCCTGGTTTCCTGGGGTGGGAGAAGTTGGTCCCTCTTTGCTTTCACGGTTTGCCACGGCTGCCTGGAACAATGTCCCCCGGATTCCCGGACAAAAGCGAGGCTGGCAGCCGTCCTCCGTCCGCTCTTTGTCACAGGGCCTGGGAGCTGGCGCAGCCCCCGGCCCCGTCCCCGCAGTAACTCGCGCCGGCGCGGCCTCGGCCCTGGAGGCCTGGAGGGCAGGCCCTCCCGGGGGCCTGGGGGGGGGGCCCTGCTGCCGCTGCCAAGGAGCCAGGTCCCCTGAGGGGCCCGCACTGAAATAGCACATGGCCCTGCAGCTACGCGGACCCTCAGCCTCCAGCCCGCCCCAGGGACGGCACGGTCACCGGCTCAGATCGGCCAAGGCCAGCGGGGGCCCGCTGTCACAAACACAACACATCAAGCGCTCGCTCAGTGCCTCCCCGAGCCGCCAGCCATGTTCCTAGGACGGGACGCAACAGGCTGGCCTTGTCGCCCGCGGGCCTGGAGCGGAACAGCCAAAGCGTGTGCCTGCCCACAGTCCGTGCGGCAGAGCGATGTTTCTAAAGAAAAAGAAATGGGTGGCGGTTGTGAGGGAAGGAGTGAGACCCGCCGGGAGCGCTGCCCCGCTTCCTAGAGAGAGGGCAGGTCGCAGGTCCGCTCAGCCAGGCAGCTGCTCGTCTCGGTGGCCACGCCTCCCACGGTGGGCAGCGCTCGCAGGGGTCGGCGGGGCCGCCCCCCCTTGGCTGTGGGGGCGCTGGACGCCGCCGGCCGATCGCTGGCCGGACGGCTGGGGTGCTCAGCGAAGATGTTTACAATTCGGTTGATCTCAGAACAGGTTTTAAAGATGGAAAAGGTACTAGATGAGTGCAACTGAAATGACTATTCAAGTTCC